TTACTAAAAGAATTACAGTATTTCTGAAAACCCTTAATGACTTACTGCGTAACAGATTATGTGATTGATTGATTGATTGATGCTTTGTCAGCCATTTTGGGCATCTCAATTTCAAAGTTCATCAAAACTGTCTTTTTAATTTTGAGAAAATATTTTTTAACATAGCCTACATATAGAATATTTCAATGTATATTAATCATCAGTGAGATAAAGAGCAGTCGCATGCGTGTAGTCTTTTAATAATTTATTACATGGAGGACCACGATCTTTAATCTTTATTGACTTTTCCAGCTATTGGAATGTCTTCTGAGTTGGACACACTATGGAAAAAGCTGAACTCTGACCTTGGTGCCTCTATAGTTTAACCCTGGACAAATTTTCATGTTCAGAATTGCACTACATTCAGGCCCATCTCAATATACAAACAAACCTAATATATATTTATTAATGTATAATATTATCAATATAAACTAAAGCTTGAACTTTCAGATGGCCATGGGTTCAGTTGGTTTATACATTTGAAACAATGCATGGTACATATTGTAGCGTTAAGCCTCTGTGAAAATCTGTGGCCAAAGATTTTGACATTCTCTGAAATGTTTTGTTTAGACTAATGAGATTATCTGATTCTGTGCCTCCCAGGAGAAAGAAAGTGTTTGAAAAGCAAGAAGGAACGAAATCTTCGATTTGGCTCAAACTCAACACTTTTTGCATGCAACTTGCTAATTTAGCCTAGTTAGTGACCACATTGCGTGCCAGCAGATCGTTAGGCGGCTGTCCTGTATCTGTCACATGTCCAGGCCGCCCCGTTCAGACCTGTCAGCTACCCCACAGCGTAATGTAAGCTAGATCAGGCACACAGAAGCCAAGAAGAATTTTAATTAGTGGTGAGAAAACACAACATGGTTAAATTATGCTGAGGCAGAAAGAGAAAGAATCAATCGCTCCTGTTTGAGAGTGTGATGTCTGCATGGAAATAGGAAGAAAAGCCTCCAGGGTAAATCAAACACATCACACAGACATAGACAGTGTTATAAACACCTGGGAGGCACATCATGAATCGCACCAGAGAAAAACTTGAAATTTGGATATTAAAAATACTGCCGGTGGGACAAAGATGAAAAACACATTGGAATATGGTCCTCAACCAGGGGTCGACAATACCCCAGGGAACTCAACTTCTAATGAAACACAACTGATTGTGATATAAAATTAAATTTACACACAGACACACACAAAATGAGAATTTGCATTACAATTTTGAGTATTATACTAAATTTGACCAATTACACTTGACATGTTTTCAACTTGCACCCTTAAGTTCTCCCAACACAACTTTTCTCATAAACACAACTCAAATATGTTGTGTAGCAGAAACACAACTCAAACTGAGTAAAAGTAACTTGAATAAAAGTGAATACACATTATAACATAGTAAATATATTGTCACATATTTTCAATAAATGAAAAGCAGCAATTATTGCATTCAATCCATATAAACAATTTAATGTATTTATCATAAATATAGAGCACTGTAAAAAAAAGAATATTGTTGGTTTAACTTAAAAAAATGAAGTAACCTGGTTGCCTTAAAATTTTAAGTTAATTGAAATAGAAACATTTAGTTAAAGGGTTAGTTCACCCAAAAATGAAAATTAAGTCATTAATTACTCACCCCCATGCTGTACCAACCCCGTAAGACCTTCGTTCATCTTCGGAACACAAATAAAGATATTTTTGATTGAATCTGAGGGCTGGATCAGTCCTACATAGACAGCCTGAGGGACTGCCTCTTGACGGCCCAGAAAGTCATTAAAAGAAAAGGTTTAAATATTCCATGTGCCTACAGCGGCTCAATTATAACTTTATCAAGCGACGAGACTACTTTTTGTGCGAAAAAAAAAACCGTAAATAACGACTTTATTCGACTTTCCATTACTTCCTTATGGGCGCATGCGCGAGAACTGAGACGAGACCGTTCTTCTTCGACTACTTGTTACCGGCTGCTCACCGCTTAGGAGTTTTACCGCCCCCTACCGTATAAGATGACGTACTGCTTGTAAACAGAACGTTTTGCGCCTCCGGCTATATCAGTACGTCATCTTATACGGTAGGGGGCGGTAAAACTCCTAAGCGGTGAGCAGCCGGTAACAAAAAGTAGTCGAAGAAGAACGGTCTCGTCTCAGTTCTCGCGCATGCGCCCATAAGGAAGTAATGGAAAGTCGAATAAAGTCGTTATTTACGTTTTTTTTCGCACAAAAAGTAGTCTCGTCGCTTGATAAAGTTATAATTGAGCCACTGTAGGCACATGGAATATTTAAACCTTTTCTTTTAATGACTTTCTGGGCCGTCAAGAGGCAGTCCCTCAGGCTGTCTATGGAAGAGTCATCCAGCCCTCAGATTCAATCAAAAATATCTTTATTTGTGTTCCGAAGATGAACGAAGGTCTTACGGGGTTGGTACAGCATGGGGGTGAGTAATTAATGACTTAATTTTCATTTTTGGGTGAACTAACCCTTTAATACAATGAAGGAGATTGATTTAATCACCAGACCAGAAACTCAAAATATGTTGTGATTACAAATCATGAATATATATATTTTTTACAGTGAATATTTTCTTTCTGTATAAGGAGAAGGCCATTTGAATCTAGTGAGCTCATTTCCATAAAGAAACCAGTTTGAGATGATTTGAGCCTTATGACATGGCACGTTACTCTACTGAAAGTAGTGATCAGAAGATGGGATTGATATGGTCAGCAACAATACTCAAATAGGCTGTGGTGTTAAAAATATACTCAATTGGTAAGGGGCCAAAAGTGTGCACAGAATATATCCCCCACACGACGTCATTACACTACCAACAACATGAACCGTTGATGGAGCCATATTTCATGTTGTTTACTCCAAATTCTGACCCTAACATTTGAACGTCACAAGCAGAAATTGAGACACGCCAAACCATGCAATATTTTTCCTTCTATCTTCTATTGTCCAATCTTGGCAAGTGTGGATGTCTGCAGGTTGGAGTAAAGGGTCAGGAAAGCTTGCAGCCTGCTGTAGATGGTGTTTCGGGACACCCATTATGACCTTCAGCTTTCCCGGCTTTCTCAACGTTGGTGACAACGTAAGAATGTGTGTATTGTTGTAGCCTCAGTTTCCTGTTATAGCGGAAGGACTGTCACCCGGTATGTCTTCTGCTGGTTTAGTCAATCTGCTTCAAGGTTGAACGTGTTGTAAGACCCCGGTTGTAACAAGTGTTTTTTTTTTTTTTTTTTTTTAGTTGAGTTGTCTTGAACCAGTCTTGCTATTCTCCTCTGACTGGATTCAACCAGGCATTTTCACCCACAGGACTGCCGCTCACTGGATATTTTCTCTTCACTACTATAATTTGCTGTAGCCAATGTATTCTTGACTAACTAGTTGTAATTACCAATTTACATATTGTTATACTAAGTAAAAATGTTAACTTTCAATATCTGCATTTTAGTTCATTTAGCTAGTTTTTGTTACTTTAAGATATCTGAAAGTTCAATATAAGCAGAGTAAATAAGCAACTGAAGATAACTGATGAATCTTTCTTTATATTCTACAATGAAAGTTATTATCAGGTCTGATTTTCTGCAGCAATCTTTAACGTGAAACCTGAAAGAAGTTTAGCACATATCGTAATAAACAAACAAAACAATACAAACAGATTACACCTTGCATGCTAAATGATCCCTTTAAGCTCCAGAATGATCAGGTCTAAGACGTTTTTCTAATGACATAAATCCTATTAAAGGAGCTTAACCCGCTCCCAGAAAGAACACAACATAACAAATCATCAGTTCTCATTTTGAGCTTCACAAAAGAATTCCCTCAACTGACCTTCACTCGTATCACTCAAGCAATAAGGTACGTGACGCCATTCTGTGTCTCACGTGATTTCAAACTGATTTCCTGACCATTTCCCCAGTTTTGTCGTCAGGGGAATCAGCCAACAAATGACTTACTAAGAGTTTGCTCTGCATATTTAAATAAAATAAGGGAAAGAATGGACCTCTTTAAAAAAAAATAAATAAATAACTTCATTAGATTCATTCTTTGGACTCCAGCGCCACCTTGTGGCAAAAATAAGTTAATTAACACCTGTTTTAATTCATGGTTTATTTTTAAGATATCTTTAAGAGTTTAAGATGTCCATTTCTAAAGTCCAAAATCCTCTAATATCCATTTAGAGAGCAAGAAAGATAGACTGAATTAAGTTGTTTTTGCATAAACACTGTTCCCATATGAAGGAGAAACAAACTACCTCATGTTTTTTTTTAAGTGATTTTCAAAAGTGCTCTGAATGTTTACATTCTTAGAAATGCCTTATGGGGTCTACTACTGTTCTGTAAACTGAACAACCAGATCAATATAGTTATCAATTGACCAGATCAATTTACCAGTATAGTTAAGAGATAAAGGTGTTCAGTTTACATCTGCTGCTTTCGCTGCTTTTCTGGAAGGAAGGAATATTCTTCACTTATCAGAGTGAAAGTGAATGACAGAGAAACACCATATGGAGTTATTTCACTCTACTAAAAATTACCCAGCATGTGATAATGGCATAGGCTATACTGTACATTTATTAACCTTAGAGTAAAGACAAGTTTGTGTGTGTTTTTTTTCTTTTTTTTAAACTTATAATTATTATAATTGTAATAAGTTATAATAAGTGCTAATTATTAAAATATGTTATTTTTTTAAGAATTAGAAAACAAAAATAAATTATTTAATATAGGACAGATTAAACATATTTCTAATCTAAACAATTAAAGAAGTTAGATAGATAGATGGATAGATGGATAGATAGATAGATAGATGATAGATGATAGATAGATAGATAGATAAATAGACTGACGTAAGTCTCATGTAATGAGACTTCTATACATTTGCACAAATTATATCAACACAATATAATGAAACAAATGTTATTTTGTAACACAAGCAACAAAAATAATTGAGGAAAAACTGTTTATTTTTAAATAAGTATCTCGACACATCTAATATGTCATTTTATTTTTAAATACATTTGATTTGGCAACATATGACAGATTTCCTCATCACATCATCATAGAAGTTGATCATTCAACACACCATAATGTCTTTTTCTTTGACAACACATACTCACATATACTGTACCTCATGCCATACATTTAAAATTCATGCACAGGCCTGCTGTTAGTGCTAATAGTAATTTTGCATTAAAGCAGTCCAATATGGACTCCGGCATTCATGGGCTATTTGTGTGAAATCACACAATATCAATGTACATTCATTTATTCTTTGAAAAAAAAAAAAATGAAACCAAAATGAAAATGTATTAAGTGCCTCCACACAATTCAACAAAATGGCATAAGGCTTTTGTTAGGATGTGTAAACAGACAATCTGTGTATTGGATGAATGTGTGTTACTGTGTCGAGATGAGTGACACTATTGTGTGTATGATGCGAGATCCTCGAGGACAGCTGATCAGATCAATGCTGGGGTTTTTGATCTTCTCCTCTAAGAGCTGATCCAGCTCCCAGCGAAGCTCTTTTACCAACTCAGCAACCTACATAAAGAGTTTCTGATGAAATACTGCCACTGTTTTAGCATAGCAGAACACACTAGAGTAAGTCTGTTTTACCTCATGAGACGCAGCAGCAAATTTGATCCATCCATCGTCCAGAGAGATAATGAACTCTCCACGCTGCAGGTCCACGCTCACTCGCCCCCCACCGAGCAGAACCATGGGATATACGCACACCATGCTGCAGTCACGGATAAACACTCGACTGGTCTTCACTTTCTCGTGGTACACCAGGTATGGGCTGTCATAGTGACGCACCTACGAAGAGTAAAACTTCTCAGATCTGACAGCACATGAGAAAACTTACACTTGATTTAAGACTCAATTGAAATATTACCAAAGTATTGATACATTGAATGTATGTAAATGTATAAATATTTAAAACTTGAAATATTTTATAAATATTTAAAATGTTAAAACACACACACCGAAAAAAAAAACACTGAAAAACATCAATATTGTGAAATATTACAATTTAAAAATTAAAATATATTCAAAGAGAAAATATTCCTGTGTTTCAATGCTGAATTGGGTAACACTTTAGAATACGGTTCCTTCGTTAATGAATAACTACACAAGAACTAATGAGTAACACAATATTAACAATCTAGTAACTATTATTAACTAACAAGAAACTCTGATTAACGAACTAGTAAGTCATAGCGCACAGATGAAAGTGGTAGTTCACTATTAAGTAATCAATAACTACTATTTTTTTAATACTTCCCAGAGAACTACTGAAAAAGTTTATTAACAATCTAGTAACTACTATTAACTAAAATAAATTCTTATTAACGAATTAGTAAGTAATAGCTCACAGATGAAAGTGTTACTAGATACTTCTGTGGGAGTTACTAATTATTTGTATTCGTATTATAAAGTGAAGATCATTGGAACTAACTAGTAATTACTCAAGTGTTACTAAAGACATTTTCTAAAAGTTACTAAAGTTCACCAAAAATCTCAAACGGTTGCACAAATCATGACTAGATCATGTAGTAACACTTGAGTAATTACTAGTTAGTTCCAGTGATCTTCACTTTATAATACGGATCCAAATAATTAGTAAGTAATAGCTCACAGATGAAAGTGTTACTAGATACTTCTGTGGGAATTACTAATTATTTGGATTCGTATTATAAAGTGAAGATCATTGGAACTAACTAGTAATTACTCAAGTGTTAATACATGCATGTTCTAGTCATGATTTGTGCAACCGTTTGAGATTTTTGGTGAACTTTAGTATATTTTTAGAAAATGTCTTTAGTAACACTTGAGTAATTACCAAGCGGCAACCTCCCCGTCTCTCTCTTGAAGCCAATACGGAAGTGAATTAAACTGCAATTTATCGAGTGGCCGCTTGAGGCAGGCTGCAGAAGCGAGTCAAATCTGTATCTCCCCCATGTTAAAATGCCCAACTTTACAGCAGAAAAAAACATGTTTACAGCCTGGAGCAAAAAGTGGCTTTGGTCTATAGAGCTCATTTTTCCCTTCATGACAACTGTGAGGGGGGTGAATTTTTTTACAACTCATCTGTTTAAATTATATTTAAGCCTTAAAGTTCTGCATAATTAAGGGCGTGGCCACTTGAGTGACAGGTGGATTCATGCTGCCGCTTTCACTGCTAGTCGTTTGTCTGCTGTCTGTTAGCGTCACCCTCAGCTGTGTTTCTGCTTTCCCGGGATTATTTCATACAATTTAATACATGTATTATACCTTCGCCCGTGCACACCGTTGGATTCCGTCGTGTTGAGTATGGAGAGATCGACCAGCGCCGTGTTTCCAGCTGTTTCCCTCGCATGCACTAATGGATGTCCGATGTTTTCAGTGCTTTCTCTCCGTCCATGCAATAGATGCACACCCTTGAATGAGCGCGGATTTCTAGTTCATTTACTTGAATTTCTGAGGTAATATTTGGTTTGACCCATCTGAGAAACTGAGAGGCGGCCAAAATCGGATTGTAAAATGGACTGAATTAAAGCTCTTTACGAACTTGACGTGAGATGCCGACTGACATGTGTGCTTGCCTTGAATCACTGTCGCATGCACAAGCTTAGAGCAATATTGTAAGTAACTTATACATTTTAACTAGCAGAATAATAATGCATCACAATGCACATAGTTGACTGCTTGTATGTTGTGAGAAATGTGTGATCTGTGTTAATGTACTTGTATGCTCTTAACTAATTGCCCCTTGTGAGATTAATAAAGTTGATAAAGTAAAGTAGTTTCACTTTTAGTTACGTCTTAACTATTATAATATTTCGAAGGGCAAAACATGAACTTTAACCATTGGCTTTACTTTTTAAATCAGCTGTCAATTCAGCGGCAGTAGCATAGCATTAGCACCTCAGCTCCACCCGCGTCCCGCCTCTTTGCCCATTTTAATTTATCCGGTAGTGACGAGAGGTGACGCACTGCCAAGATGGCGACGGTCGGCCCCGCCCACTTTAGGCCTCAAAATCGCTCTTCAGAAACCTATGGGTGACGTCACGGACACTACGTCCATATTTTTTACAGTCTATGGTAATTACTAGTTAGTTCCAATGATCTTCACTTTATAATACGAATCCAAATAATTAGTAACTCCCACAGAAGTATCGAGTAACACTTTCATCTGTGAGCTATTACTTACTAATTCGTTAACAAGAATTTATTTTAGTTAATAGTAGTTACTAGATTGTTAATAAACTTTTTCAGTAGTTCTCTGGGAAGTATTAAAAAATAGTAGTTATTGATTACTTAATAGTGAACTACCACATTCGTCTGTGTGCTATTACTTACTAGTTCGTTAATCAGAGTTTCTTGTTAGTTAATAATAGTTACTAGATTGTTAATATTGTGTTACTCATTAGTTCTTGTGTAGTTATTCATTAACGAAGGAACCGTATTCTAAAGTGTTACCCTGAATTGTTTACAATAGTTGATGTGTGATAGTTACGGAGAAGTTGACAGAGGAAGGGTGTATGTGGACGGCTCCGTCACTCTTGGTCATGAAGCGCAGTTCTTCTGCTTTGGGCTGCATCTTCACAGCCCCTTTACTAGTGAGCTTATACTTCCCCTGAGGAGATCTCACCTAAACACAACACGGCACGCTTTAAACATGTTCACGTTCAACATCTTATATACCAGACTCATTTTGCGATACTGACCTGGACAACATTAGGGTAGAGGGCTGCGCACAACATGGCAGACATCAACTTTGTGTTATCAGAGTTCAGGTTGGCCTGTTAGGGACAGAAAACCAGTTAAAAGGTTAAAAGGAACAGGTCACATGCTGTGGATACTTCGTATCAAAATCATATAAAAAACAAGACAACTGGGTGTGCTATAGGGGGTAACTATTAAGAGATAGTTAAGAGAGGTAACTATCAGATGAAACAGCAAAATATTTCAAGGCACTCACTCGTGTGCCAACATTTGTAGCGCGTACACCATCCGATAATCGCAAAAGGCTTTGTGACTTGTTATCTTTAATATGAAAAGCAAAGCCTCAAACTTTAAAATTCAAACAATAAATGCCATTTTGGTGCACATGAACTGATCATCTCCTCTTTACTATTTACACCAAAAAAATAAACATGGGTGAACATCAGAAGGTATGTTGAAAAATACATTACAACTTACTGAAATGAATCCTGTTGCATGCACTAATTGCTTGATCAGTGATTCAACCGGGGAAAGACGTCAATAAAACAGTTTGTAGGCAATATAATCACTTAAGATTACATTTATCTCAAGAAAGCTATTCAAATGTCCATAAATTCATTAGTAAGTTACAAAAAAAGAAAAAAAACTCTAGAGAAGAGCACTAAATAAATGCACTGTATTAGGCTACGAATTCATTATATTTTGACTTAACCTGTTAGTGATCTCTCCATTATTTATATAATAATTTATATTTTACATTTACATTTCACCAACAAACTATAAAAACTGCCTTATGTTCAATTAAAATGTTTTTATAACTCAGTTCAAGCTATTTGTTGATTTTAAAATAAGTTTGTTTAATTCATTGATTATTAATTCAATATTTATTTTTGGTTTCGGTTTTCGTCCAAGCGCACCTAAAATGGGTATAGACAGAAGTGGAAAGGATTCTTTGAGGAAACCTTTAAAGAACTGCATTTATTTGAAATAGAAATCTTTTTAACAATATAAATGCATTTTATTTTGTTTTGATCAATTTAATGTGTCCTTGCTGCATAAAAATAAATAAATAAATACTGCCATTTAAACATAATCATCTTAATAAAAACATTTACGTAGAGTTGCACAAAAGTATAAAAAATGGTTTAAAAAAAGTAAAAAAAAAAAAATTGAGATCTAGAGGTTTACACATTACACCACCTTTCGAACAGTCTAAAAACCGGCGCATATTACTGCTCTAAAAAAAATAAATAATAAAAACACACTATCCAGATGAAATAGAATAAAACATCTTAAATATGGACCTGCCTTTAGTTTGGAAAATAGCATCATTTCCAAACTGATATTAATCAGGGACAATCACAAGAACGTTCTTAACGCAAATGGACCATTTAATTTTAATTATTTATAATTTAACAAATTTATAATACTAATTTATCACTGACTACATCTAATATCAACTGTCTCAGACCAGTCAAAATTTAATAAATAGTTAAATAAATACTTTATTTAAGAAAAATATAAACATATTTTACATGTTTCAAAGCTAAGTCCCTACTACTTAGATATTTATGAAAACATATAAATATCCATATTAACCCAGCACTCAAAAATCACTGTTACCTCATAGCCTGTGGCCTCCAGCACCCCATCACCTCCCTTTGAGCTCATTTTCTCAATGACCCTGGCTTTCAGTCCATCCTTCACAAAGCCAATGTCAGACAGGAGCTCGGCAAATTGCCTTTTAAGACACGCTATCTCCTAAGAGAACGCACACAAAACAGAAAAGTTATTCAAGTGTGCCAAAATACCTGGCATCTCCGCTGAGCTGATCAGAGATCAGTCTCTCACCTGTAAGCCCCGGATGGAGAGGAAGTTCTCTCTGCAGTACTGGTAGCCAGCCTTAGAGCCACCCTGTGCTGCGTTACACCAACCCTGAACACAACACAAGTCTGCATGATTATACCAAACAGCACATTTCAGGAAACAAGTACTGAATAATGACTAGACATGTTATTCGTTACTTCTTTAAAAAAGTAATCCGTTACTTTACTTAGTTACCCCATATGGAAAGTAAATTTTTACGTTACTCGTTACTTTTACTTTGCTTGACTTTGGGCAGAACCCAATATTTGTTCCTAAATGTGTAGGCCTACATAAAGTTCTACTATGCATAATGCCATATATGCATAATGCATTTATCAAAATTTGGAATATTTATGAAGAAATGCCCATTAATGGATAGGCATATGGATGGGCGGCACTGAAAGAAAGCCCCCAAGAAAGACCAAAGCATCCCATTAGCACCCCCAAAAATAATTTCTGGAAACAATTATGTTCAGCCTATATTCAATAGAAGTCCTTAGTAACGCGTTACCCTACTTTTTACCCGAAAAAGTAGTTACGTTACTGTGACGCGTTACACACAACACTGATAATGAACCAGGCACACATCTTCATCAGTACTTTTCAGACATTCGGACTGATATGATAATCAGAGGTAGATCAATATAGAATTTTTTTAAATATTTGAACTGGCTGAACCATTTCAATAAAATAATGTTACTATTCAGAGATTATTCTAATATGCTGATTTGGTGCTCAAGAAACATTTCTTATGATCAATCTTGAATAAGCAGCTTAAATAATTTTTTTTTTTTAATTCTTTGATGAAAAGAATGTTCTAATGAACACCATTTATTCAAAACAATTTTATAACATTATAAATGTCTTTACGAACATCAATTTGATCAGTTTAATGCATCCTTGCTGACCCTAAACTTTTGAATGGTATGTACGTATACATATTTTATTTATATATATTAGGGGTGTAACGGTACATGTATTCGTATTGAACCGTTTCGGTTCGAGGCTTCCGGTTCGGTACGCATACAAACCGAACGATCGCTTGGACCATTTTTCCTGCCGGCAAAATTCGTGCTGACGCGGCCAACACAACGTTGCGCAACATCCAAATGGCAAGGAAATGAAAGCAGAACGAAACTGCGCTTCTCGGTATGTGCTTCACGGATCGTTTATCAGTTCGGACCAGCAACATCTGTGCAGCGCGAGCCGATCACGATCAAGCAACACTGTTACTACACAGCGCTAAGAGATCCGGTAAAGAAAACATTTGAATTCGCCATTGAGGTAATAACATCGCTGCGAGATCTAGTGAGATGCATTCACATTTCTCCGTTATTAACCGTAGATCTCTATTAGATCAAACAGCGCTGTCATGGAAACCAGGAGAAACATTGTGCCGTGAATGAACTAGTACTTTACGTCCACAGACCAGCAACATTCACCATGGATTTAATATAGTAAGACTAACTGTAACCAGTTTGGCTGGAATGGTGTGATTTCAAGTACTTCACACATCTTTTTCCAGCACTTCAAAATTCAAATATTATATAAATAAATATATATTTAAATGTTATTTTTAATGTGATGACCAAAACATTATTTGTTCATCCTTCAAAGATGACCCCTATTTATAAACCTGAAAGTTTCAAGATCTAGGAAAACTCACACTTATTTAAAAATATTTTTTCTTTAAACAAATAGGAAATTTCTCTGGCATTTCTTTCTTTTTGCTGTATCGAAAACGTACCGAACCGTGACTTTAAAACCGAGGTACGTACCGAACCGTGATTTTTGTGTACCGTTACACCCCTAATATATATATATACTGTATATATTTGTATGCATTGATTGTGTATACATTGTAATATATGCATTGATTGTGTGTGAGGGTGGAATCAGCAGTTGCAGAAGTATGTGGATGTATTTAAACAAGGCCACATCTGATTCTGTAAAATAAAATGATCTAATTTCTTTTTTTAAAACAAGTAAGTGGCATTGTGTGTGTATCATAATGAATTGTGTATCTCTACTCATTAATTTAATCAGAGCCTGTACTGACCTTGTACGCCTGCAGCAAAGCTAGATGGTCACTGTTCGCCAAAGAGAAACCCAACTTCTTCTCATTAGCCTCTTCTCGTTTATCCCAAGGTGACACCTGTGAGCGTGGCCATCAAGAGAACATGGATCTCAGGTAACTAATAGCACTGCACTGGAGTATCATCATCTAAACATGCGTGTAGTGACTTACAAATGGACTCTTGAAGGCCAGGCTGGCGGCGATGGTGAGAGCAGGATCCAGGCAGCGGAAGATGGCTCCCAGCAGCATGAGTTTACCAATGCGGACGTCCACAGGCAGACAGGCCAAATGCCAGCCCAGTGGAGTGAGAGACTCCTCTTCCGTCAGGGCGCCCAGGGCACACAGGCGCTGTTTAGCGGCCTCCAGACTGCCTTCTGTGGGCGGCTCGATCAGCTGGGAGAAGACGGACTCCAGAGGACGCTCCGCAAACACATCCAGTACCTTAACCCTGAGATAGAAGAGCAGAAATTATGTCAAGTTTAATCTGTTAAAGGGAGTTTAAAGTAAAAATTCTGTCATCAGTTGCTCACTCTCATGTTGTTCCGACAAAGATTTAATTTTATTCACTAATAAACATTGGTCAGAAGTCACACAGAGCAGTCAATATGGTAAACGGAAGCTCAACCGTATATGATACACAAGAACAAACCTCACTGGTTCTTGAGGAAACTCAAACGTGCAGGCGTGACGTGCGAATAAACCTCATTCGTTCTCGCGGATCCACCTTGACCTTTCATTTGCCATATTTGAGAGCTCTGTGTACATTCGCTGATCAATGTTCATATGTGAATAATAAATTAAATCTGTTCATTTAAAGCGATCCAGACTTGGATTTAACTGCTTGATATATTAGTATTCATTTGACAATCTCTTCTTTATAAATATTTGGAAGCATCATCGTTTTGGGTGAATAGACATAATGGAGGGACAGAAATCAGATTTCATTGAAAAATACCTTGATTTGTTTCTGAAAATAAACAAAAATCTTATGGGTTTGGAGGTACAGTAAAATATGACAGAATTTTAATTTTGGGGTTAACTAACCCTTTAAGATCTAAACCAATAATACTTAGGTTTCAAATCAGGTTTACACAATAAAATGAATAATAAGTTGAATATATATTCATTCACAATGCAAGTTCTTGATGTATAGACCATTTTGCAAGATGTAAACAACACTGGTCCAGAAACACTTCCTGTTTCAGTTTGTAACTGTTATTTATTTATTTTCTTGTGTAAAGAAAACATCTTATAGATGTTTGTTTAACTTTTTGATTCAGTTTTATATGTTCTGTTGGTTGTATTTTATCCCAGCTTTTATGTAGTGTTAAAAAACTGAAACAGGAAGTGCTTCTGGACCAGTGTTGTGTACATCTTGCAAAATGGTCTATAGAAGAGCTATATTGCATCTATACAACATTCAGCTGGTACAATCTTAGTTCCTGTTCAGATGCTCAGGTCATCGTTTAGCTATAGAAACAGGTAGATGGAGTAATACACCAATGGCAGAGCTAACCTAACCCTGAAAACCTCTGTGATTGAAGATAAGAAGCATTTCCTGTATGACTGTTGTTTGTATGTGGATCTGCGTAAAAAATATTTGGGTGATCTAACACTTGTTGGTGATATTTGTATTGATGCGTCACAGGTCTGTGAGTCTGCATGGAGATTGATATTATATATATACACCATGGGATGTCCCGATCTGATGAAGTGATCGGAAATCGGGCCCGATCAGGTGGTTTCAGACTCGATCGGAATCAGAGGTTACCTCCCGATCAGGACTCGTATATAGCCTACATGTATATATTCTCAGTATTTTTTCACACATCTATAGTTATGTGGTGAAACATTGGGTGCGTGGGGGCATCTCAGCAGCGTGGCTTGTCCGTTTTTATTTCAGCTACCATGTTAACAGGTTAGAGCTTGCAGGACTGCCTGAGTGACGGGGATATATGGAAAACGTGTGCATGCTAGACGAAATAGAACTAACACATATTTTTTTACGTGACACACAAGCGTGTTGGAAGCGTTTCCAGGTAAAATAGAATAGGAAAAGATGTTTATATGTTATTTTGTACTCAAATACATTAATTTGATGGTTGAAAGTCTAGGTTTAGACACATTCAGATATAAAAATAATTTAAAAATAAATACATGAATAACTATCAATTTTAATATATTGCACCTGCCAATAAAGAACAAAATATTCTGTGGTCTATTTTGCTGTCAATACTGCTGACATTGTTTTTATCAGTATATTTATGCTTAAAAATGATAAAGTTGATGACAACATTGCCACAGCAAACTGTGAGATATATAAACTTGGGGTTTCAAGAGGTGCAAAGAAAAAGGCTACATTTAACACAATAAACCTGAGTTGTCAAATGTTAAAATAAGAATTAAATAAAAAATAAGGAACATCCTGGAATCTGGATCTGTTTTTTCGCTCTTCTTTATTCATTTTTTTATTATGATAGAAGTATCGGATCGGGACTCGGTATCGGTAGATACTTAAAATCAAATGACTCGGACTCGAGGGCAAAAAACCTGATCAGGGGCCTCATTTATAAAGGTTGCGTACGCACAAAAGAAGGCGTACGCCGCTCTCTACGCAATAGTTGGTATTTATAAAAAGCAAACTTGACGGTAAAATGTGCGGTCCTTCACGCAAGCTCTGACCCAGGCGTACGCACAAAAACGGGTGAAATGAGAAATGGCGACACCGTCGGCAGTTGGAAAAAACACGTGAAAGTGTGTGAAACTGTAGACGGTTGTGTAAAATAAATGGCAATACTGCCTCTCATAAATAACACGAAGACTTCACAAAGAAAGTCTTACAATTAACAGCCTACACGAACACCCGTTTGACCGATCTGCAACAGAAATGCACATTAACACATATTTCCAAAAAAAAAAAAAAAATGTTCTTCAATAATATTGGCATATACAATTCATCCTCATAAATAAGATGGTAAACAGAACGAAATAATGTACAAAACTGATATTCTCGCCAATATGTCCGTCTAACGGAGCAGATTTAGCAATTAGATAGTCAGTCAGATAGATAATTATGGAGATATATAGATAGATCGATAAATTGGTATGTAGGCCTATTATTTGTCCCCTGGGGAAAGTCGTTTTCATCGTAAAAATATCTTCATCAGCTATAGAATCATGGTATTCATGCATATGCCTTTAGTTTATTTTATTTTTGATAAAATAACGTATGACGTGACCATTCCTCAACCATTCAGAAAGCTGCAAGAAATTATATTTGCGCTGAACTATTTCCAATTTAGATTAAAACCGATATCCGTAGCGCTTCTCAGATGCAGAAAATGGATGTAAATTAAATGCCCCATCACAATGCGTATAATGACGCACAATGGCTGATCTTGCGCTAGAAGATGTGGCGATTAAATGGAAGGATTCGGAGTGAACGCATCATCTTCACAACAAAAGGTGTGGAAAAAAATATTGTATTTATTCAAGAATTCCCTCACTGTGCAGTTTATTTCAGTTAGGACAGTCTTGATTTCGCCCAACTCCTTGGCCACCTCTAATTGAATTAATGACTAGACGCTTTTTTGCCTCGACTTTGACATCCGACCATTTCTTTTTTATTTCGGCCACAGTCCGAGGTTGTGAGGACACAGTATTTACGGCGTCTGCAACCTTTTGCCACTCAAGTGCCTTTTTGGCATTAGTAATGCCCACTGTGCCCTCCAAACAACATTTTTCTCCTCTTTTCCACCTCGCCAACGATAACTTCTAATTCACATTGAGTGAAGTTACGTTTTTTGTTAATTCCTCTCTGTGTTTAACATGATTTCGCAATCGATGAATATTAACTTGTGGGCGTTTCACGGACTATTTATGGGCAACTATGGGCGTGACATGAAGCCGCAAAAGCTGCGCTACATTTAGAATTGATTGTGATTTATTAAGGGAAAAATGCGTAGGATGTGCGTGCGGACGGTTTTATAAATTCTGTGCGTACGCACGTCCTATGTTTCATCCGTACGCCACTTCTGACGCAAATCCTACGCAAAGTTTTATAAATGAGGCCCCAGGACATCCGTAATATACCATGGAATGAAGAAAGAGCATCTGTCATGCTATTATGATTTTGTGGAACTATGGGCCGGAGGCATTTATTTTAATATATTAATTAAAAGGAAAACCATGCTGTTTTTTCCTTCTAAGTGAAAGTGACGTGACATGAAGGCCCAAGTATGGTAACCCATATTTAGAAGTGGGCAACCATTTTGCTGCGTTGCCCGGACAGCAATTAGGGGTTAGGGATAAGGCCACCTCAGACATGGGTATTGAGGGTGGAAGAGAGCGTTGTTCATTCACACCCCATCTACATCACCTAAAATTTTCCTGACGACATTGAGAATCGGACCCCACAACCTTCAGGTCACAAGTCTCACTCTCTAGACATTAGGTCACAACCGCCAAATATGAAGTTGGTTACTTTAGACAGAGCTGCTCCAAAGGAACTCTCTGGATCTCCGGCAGCTGCTGTTGGCTCAGGTGGTGTGTGAAGCGGTGGCTGGTAAACAGATGGAAGCAGACGCCTGACGCCACACGACCGGCACGGCCTTTTCTCTGAAGGGCGTTGGCACGAGACTCCCACACGTCCTCTAGACTCTCCATACTGCGACTGGCATCGTACCTAACACACACGCACAAATGTATGCTAATGCATCCAAATCCACAACGAACAATCAATGTTATCCAGGAAAAATAAACATCTAGGTTTTTTTTTTTTTGACAATACAAATACAAGCTTCAGCACCAATATGCAGCAAACAGTGAGTCTAACCTCTTCTCCTTCATCCGGCCAGAGTCTATGACATACACCACATCATCAATGGTGACAGAAGTTTCAGCAATGTTGGTGGAGATGATGATTTTGGTCACACCCTCAGGTGGCCGGGTAAAGACCGCCTGCTGCTCCTCATTGGACAGGGAAGAGTGTAGAGGATACACTACACACCTAGACATTTTAGACACACACACACACATAACTAAATATCATTATCTGATTCTTACAGGTGAAACTGGCATACACTTGTCCAAAAATCAAAAGAACTGTTTTATTATTTGTTTTATAATAATATACCCTATTGTTCAAAAGTTTGGGGTCGGATACAATTTTATGTGGCATTTATTTGATCAAAAATACAGTCAAAACTGTTATATTGTGACACGTTATTACAACTCAAAGTAACTATAATGTAAATATAATTGTTATTTGAATGTTAATATGTTATTTCCACGAGGGCAAAGCTGAAACTTCAGCATCATTACTCCAGTCTTCAGAGTCACATGATCCTTCAGAAATCATTTTGTTATGCTGATTTGATGCTCAAGAAACATTTATTATTGTTGTTGTAAAAAAAATAAAAATAATAATAAAAAACAGTTGGAAACAGTTGTGCTACCTAATAGTTTTGTGGAAACAGTGATACATTTTTTACAAGATTCTTTGAACATAGAAAGTTCAAAAGAACAACATTTCTGTGAAATATAATTCTTTTGTAACATTATAAATTTCTTTACAGTCACTTGTGACCAATTTAATGCATCCGCGCTGAATAAAAGTATACATTTATTTCCCCCCAAAAAAAAAGTACTGTCTCCAAACTTCCGAACGTTAGTGTATAATAATATGATGTAGTATTTAAGTTAATAATCATTTATATTTTTCATATTTGCCATTATTCTCAATGGTGATTCTCAGTAAACTCTTATTTACCAGTTAATTAGCAAACCTTACAGAGACAGTAGTACAAATACTACCATCATGGATAAAAACTTTACAATGTATTATTTTATTTATTTATTTATTTTTTGCATCATAGTAATCATAGTAATGAGAGGACAAGCTTAGAGGAGTGTAACAGTGCAAATAGATTAAATATGGACAGGACATGTAAAGACTACTTTAAAAAAAAAACAAAAAAAAACATTTACATGAACAACAATAACTGAACTACTGGCCCCAATAGAAAAATATACCTGTTTGTTCGTCTATTATTGAACATCCTATTAGACTGCAGCTGTTCATATAATAGCTTTATTTCAGCCAGTCCTGGTAGGAAGACCAAAACAGCCCCTGTGCATTCACACATACAAAAAAAAATACACATACACATTTAAAAAAAAAAAAATAAAATAAAAAAATAAACAACAACAGTCAATCAAAGTTAATTTGTTTTAACCTTAATAAGGAAGCTGTAACTATTTTAAGCAGGCATGTAGTGCAGGGGTTTATTGTGCTCTTTACCTGGTGGGTAGCTGTGGTCTCCATCAACAATCCACTCCAACAGACTCTCCACCAGGTCCATGTTGATTTTGTCAAGATCCATAGCAGCCAACGTTTTCACCACAGACTTTGAGTACTCTTAACAAAAGCACAAGGACATTTTTACTCACAAGGGTTCAGTGTGTTATATCAGATTGCACAGAGAACTAATATAAAGAATGCATTTAACAAGCAGGCTGAACTTTTTACCATCATAATCACAAGGATTTTCTGTTCCCACAAAAATGCTAGTTAATGTTATTGCATTGGACTAAAATTTACTGACCAAATGATTTTGGTACTTGCTTTTATCTCCTTTTTTATTTGTATTTCTTTTATTTGATTGAATTATTTTATTGTACTCGAAACTAAGTACTTTGGATCAACTACGGTTGTGTTAAACTTGTACTCTATAAATAAAGTTTGACTTGACTTGACTTGACTTGACACGGCTTCCCAAAATGTAAAGCATTTTGGACTGTCTGAAACTGTGCCAATAAGGTGGAGTTTATAGCATTATACAAGGAGTTACAGTAGTCTAAACCAGGTGATAAAAACATGAATCACATGAAAACATGAATTAAGGAAAGGCTTTACTTTGATCAGCAGACAGAGCTTGCTTATCAAGTTTCAAATCACTATACCCAGATTCTTGACAAGTGTTAACAGAAGAGTTATTGCCAGTGTTAGAGGGGGAAATAGATATGGGTGTTTTCTGCATAACAATAAAAGAACACATCATATTTCCAAACAATTTAACCCAATGAGAGCATATATAAAGAAAATAGGGTAGCAGCCAATATGGAACCCTGAGGAACCCCTCAATGGAGATGAGCAGGAGATGACACAGTTGAACCAACAAGCTTTACGGTGAATTTCCGACCTATATCATTGTCTCCAACATCAGTTGTCAAATAGATATCACTGAGGAACTTTAGTAAAGCAGACTCTGTACTACATTAGATTTAGATTAGAGTCTAGATGAAGAAAAAGTACTATTTCAAGAAAGTTTAGATTGGGAATATGCCAATAATTTTAAAGTAAAGTAGAATCAATATTTGGTTTCCTAAGAGATCGAACCACCAGAGCATGTTTAAGGTCTGCTGGAAGTCCCCATACAAAGTTATTTAAGAAGGTATGGCCCATAAATTGTCTTAAAATAGCCTTGTACGTGGTGAGAGAATATCAATAACAATATGCAGGTTCAAAAACCCCTTATGAGAACAATAGATTTAAGGACCGTGACGTCGCCCGTGACGTCGCCTCCCCACGGGGTCCGGCCGGGCTCAGCCCGAAGGAGCGACGTGGGACCGCCTTCCCGTGGGCTCACCACCTGCAGGAGGAGCCGTAAGGGGCCGGTGCAAAGAGGATCGGGCGGCAGTCGAAGGCAGGGGCCACGGTGACCCGATCCCTGGACACAGAAACTAGCCTTAGGGACGTGGAACGTCAACTCGCTGGCGGGGAAGGAGCCTGAGATTGTGCGTGAGGTTGAGAGGTTCCGACTAGAGATAGTCGGGATCACCTCTACGCATGGCTTGGGCTCTGGAACCACACTCCTTGAGAGAGGATGGACTCTTCACCATTCTGGAGTTGCCCATTGTGAGAGGCGACGGGCTGGTGTGGGTTTGTTAATAGCCCCCCAGCTCAGCCGCCATGTGTTGGAGTTTAATGAGAGGGTCGTTTCCCTGCGCCTACGGGTCGGGGATAGGTCTCTCACTGTCGTGTGTGCCTATGGGCCAAACGGCAGTGCAGAGTACCTGGCCTTCTTGGGGTCTCTGGGAGGAGTGCTGGAAAGTGCTCCAACTGGGGACTCCGTCGTTCTACTGGGGGACTTCAACGCTCACGTGGGCAACAACAGTGACACCTGGAGGGGCGTGATTGGGAGGAACGCCCCCCCCGACCTGAACCCGAGTGGTGTTCAGTTATTGGACTTCTGTGCTAGTTACAGTTTGTCCATAACGAACACCATGTTCAAGCATAAGGGTGTCCACCAGTGCACGTGGCACCAGGACACCCTAGGTCGTAGGTCGATGATCGACTTTGTGGTCGTTTTATCTGACCTGCGGCCGTATGTCTTGGACACTCGGGTGAAGAGAGGGGCGGAGCTGTCAACTGATCACCACCTGGTGGTGAGTTGGATCCGATGGCGGGGGAGGAGGCTGGACAGACTTGGCAGACCCAAGAGTACTGTAAGGGTTTGCTGGGAACATTTGGCTGAATCTCTTGTCAGAGAGATCTTCAACTCTCACCTCCGGCAGAGCTACGACCAGATCCCGAGGGAGGCTGGAGATATTGAGTCTGAGTGGACCATGTTCTCCACCTCCATTGTCGAAGCAGCTGCTCGGAGCTGTGGCCGTAAGCTCTCCGTAACTCTCCGGTGCCTGTCGAGGCGGCAATCCCCGAACCCGGTGGTGGACACCGGAAGTAAAGGATGCCGTCAAGCTGAAGAAGGAGTCCTATCAGGCCTGGTTGGCTTGTGGGACTCCGGAGGCAGCTGACAGGTACCGGCAGGCCAAGCGGACTGCGGCCCGGGTGGTTGTGGAGGCAAAAACTCGGGCCTGGGAGGAGTTCGGTGAGGCCATGGAGAAGGACTATCGGCTGGCCTCTAAGAGATTCTGGCAAACTGTCCGGCGCCTCAGGAGGGGGAAGCAGTCCCCCACCAATGCTGTTTACAGTAGGGGTGGGCGGCTGCTGACCTCAACTGGGGATGTCGTCAGGCGGTGGAAGGAATACTTTGAGGATCTCCTCAATCCCGCCACCACGTCTTCCATTGAGGAAGCAGAGGCTAAGGTTTCAGAGGTGGACTCGTCCATCACCCTAGCTGAGGTCACCGAGGTAGTCAAGAAACTCCTCGGTGGCAAGGCACTCTGCAGCATCGCGTGGCGGTCGGGGACAGTGCCTCTGGGATGGCAGACCGGGGTGGTGGTTCCTCTTTTTAAGAAGGGGGACCGGAGGGTGTGTTCCAACTACAGGGGAAAAGTCTATGCCAGGGTACTGGAGAGGAGAATACGGCCGATAGTGGAACCTCGGATTCAGGAGGAACAGTGTGGTTTTCGTCCGGGCCGTGGAACATTGGACCAGCTCTATACTCTCTACAGGGTGCTGGAGGGTTCATGGGAGTTTACCCAACCAGTCCACATGTGTTTTGTGGATTTGGAGAGGGCATTCGACTGTGTCCCCCGAGGCGGCCTGTGGAGGGTGCTCCGGGAATATGGGGTCCGGGGTCCTTTGCTAAGGGCTGCCCGGTCCCTGTATGACCGAAGCAGGAGCTTGGTTCGCATTGCCGGTAATAAGTCAGACTTCTTCTCAGTGCATGTTGGACTCCGGCAGGGCTGCCCTTTGTTGCCGGTTCTGTTCATAATTTTTATGGACGGAATTTCTAGGCGCAGCCAGGGGCCGGAGGGTGTCAGGTTTGGGGACCGCACGATTTCGTCTCTGCTCTTTGCGGATGATCTTGTCGTGTTGGCCCCTTCACACCTGGACCTTCAGCATGCACTGGGGAGGTTTGCAGCAGAGTGTGAAGTGGCTGGGATGAGAATCAGCACCTCCAAATCCAAGGCCATGGTCCTCAGTCGGAAAAGGGTGGCTTGCTCACTTCAGGTTGGTGGAGAAATCCTTCCTCAAGTGGAGGAGTTTAAGTATCTTGGGGTTTTGTTCACGAGCGAGGGAAGGATGGAACGGGAGATTGACAGACGGATCGGTGCAGCTTCTGCAGCAATGCGGTCGATGTACCGGTCTGTTGTGGTGAAGAAGGAGCTGAGCCATAAGGCAAAGCTCTCGATTTACCGGTCAATCTACGTTCCTACTCTCACCTATGGTCATGAGCTTTGGGTCATGACCGAAAGGACAAGATCCCGGATACAGGCGGCCGAAATGAGCTTTCTCCGCAGGGTGGCTGGGCGATCCCTTAGAGATAGGGTGAGAAGCTCGGTCACTCGGGAGGAGCTCAAAGTAGAGCCGCTGCTCCTCCACATCGAGAGGGGTCAGCTGAGGTGGCTCGGGTATCTGTTCCGGATGCCTCCTGGACGCCTCCCTGGGGAGGTGTTCCGGGCACGTTCCACTGGGCGGAGGCCCCGGGGAAGACCTAAGACACGCTGGAAAGACTATGTCTCCCGGCTGGCCTGGGAACGCCTCGGTGTCCCCCCAGAAGAGCTAGAGGAAGTGTCTAGGGAGAGGGAAGTCTGGGCATCTCTGCTTAGACTGCTGCCCCCGCGACCCGGCCCCGGATGAAGCGGAAGAAGATGTATGCATGTATGTATGTAATATGCAGGCTTAATTTGAGCAAAGAGAAAGTCCTCAATTCTGATGGAAAAGGACACATGCTAAGATTTTGAAGAGGGGTTTAAAAGTAAAAATTAGAAAAAATAAATTTAGGCTTTATGCCTATATTTATCTATGATGTTGGAATAATAGAGGGATTTTGCATTTTTGACTGCTTTTTGAAAGTTTGACAAAGCATCCGGGCTTTATAGGACACCTGGACTGTATTTTTTTCCTCCTTCGCTCAGCTTATCTGCATGACCGCCTAAAGTGAGTGTACTGCTTTATTTAACCATGGCCCATTTTTCTGTAAGGCTTTTAGGTTTTAATGGGACAACATAATCTAAAAAACTAAGACAGGTAGAAATAAAAGGATTAAAATGTTTGTCCAAATATATATTTAGGACTCTCTAATAGTTCAACCTTACAAATGATTCCACCAGATATAACATTTATTTTGATTACAAAGCAGTACCACAGCCAACATGAATATTAAAATCACCAATAATTAACAATTGAATGATAATTTGTTTAAGTCCACCGTACTCGTTTAAGGTTCGTACTGGTTTAAGTACGGCAAACTCATCAAACTCGTTTGTAGATTTAGGAGGCTGATAAAAATAGTACCACCACAACTGAATTGAATGGATTTCGTTGAAATAGTTTTAAGTCAAAACAGAAAAAAGAAAAAAAAAAATTACCAAAATTCAAGTGTACTTACTGGAATATCGAACAGTGAGCTCCTGTTGACTGAGCTGCTGGTCAGGGATGGAGTCTTTGATCGAATCCTTCTTCATCAAGGAGGTAAAGGACCAGCCACAACCATCATCATCAAAGTCTTCAACAGGAGCCCGGCCCTTCCCAGCGGCGCCACCCTGACCGGGGGGACGATTCTGCTTTGAGGAGCGTCGGTATGGACTACCATCTTCAATTACATACCTTCAAAAACAAATAAACAAAAAAAGTGTTTATATTATTGTGTGAAGAAGTAAGTAGAAGAATAATCGTGGACTAAGCAATATGTATTGAATGTCAATACCTGGTCTTAGCGATGGCGTCTTCAAGGAAGAACTGCTCCACTGGGAATGTGCGTCCTTTAGATAGGAAAGTTAATTTGAAAAAGCAAGTAAGAAATGTGTGATAGTTTACATCCTCATAAAATACAGAGTTTACATATTTTTAAAGGTGCACTACGATTCTTTTCAATGGTAAAAAAGTATCAATAACATGAATGAGTGAATGTTTAAAGAGGACATTAATCCCAATTCACCCCTTGGTCCTACCCTTCCATTTTGCGCATTCACGTCTAAGGGTAGGGTGTCCCGATTCTTGTTGAGTCCTCAAAACTGAAATTTTTCAGAGGCACACTCCAAACGGAGGGCTACGAGAAAGTTCACAGAATGCATCGCAAATCACCGGCGAGATGGCTTCGCAAACGGTTAAACATTTAGATTTAGCGCCAGATGATTCCACCACACACTTTATTTACTCTTATAATAATACTATAGTCATTTAAATGAAGAAATTGAATAATAAATTACCTTTCCGAATCAGAAAAGACATACATTTCGAGGAAGGACTATTATAATCATCATGTTTCCTCAAAGTTAAGAACAGCTGTGCTGATTGTCAGTCGTTGTCATGGAGAAATCCTGTAAAAACTCTGTAATGGCAGAGCCATCTCCGACGACTAATGACGTATCGGTTCATGAGGGTTGTTCCATTTCGTAGGGGAATATTTCAACCCCTTGGCCCTTGTAACTCTGTTTTAAGGGCAAAGGGGTACACTCGAAAACAAGGGGTAGGGCCAAGGGGTGAATTGGGATTGAACCTAAATGGTTTTTTTTTTTTATGTTTTTAACATTTACAACTTTCTTTGGTTTATAATGTTGCTGTTTGAGCATAAAAAGTTCTGCAAAGTTACAAAGCACAAATTCCACTCCAAAGGGAGTTATTCTCTATATTAGCACAGTTTCTGAAATGCCTCAACTGTAGTCTTGAATTTTCTTCTGGGAATGTACAGGTCACAATATTCCTCATTTAAATAATACCCACCGAAGGCATGTGCAAATAACAGGCCAAGGCCTGGTTGAGTTGCGTTACTAGGGTTTTGAAACACATGGTTATGGTAAGGGTGTGATATTTCAAACTTGTTTAAAGTGATTCAACAATCACAACACACTGGTCCAGTCCACCAATCAGAGCACATTGAGCTGTTCAGAAGGAGTGGCTTTAAAGAGACAGTAACTAAACAGGAGTGTGTTTCCCATACAACATGTAACTCGCTGCTTAACTACCATAGTATGATGCATCGTTTAAGAAATCAACTAGCTAATCACGACTGTTTGCCCAATCCGTACTGTCGTAAATTGGTAGTTCAACAACATCGGTTGATGATGTCACGCATGTGGTAGAGTAATAACTTCTTTTAATGAATCTGTTTGAGATCGAATTTATGCTAGATGTTTTGCTATAAATTACGGACATGGCATCTGAGGTCTCTTCAAATTTTTCTTTGTTATTTTGCTTTATTTCCAGATTCAATCATAGGCTCGGTCTTACTTACTAGAGCACATTCACACATGCACACTATTGGAAAACGATGCTTTAAATCTCTTGACAAACTAGAATATCGTCCCCTTGGAATTATAAGGTTCTATCTGACATTTTTGTCAAAATTGAGTTATTCACATTTTCTTATTCTCTGGCAATTTATTTACATTATGTGATGTGTTTTGTACATTTAGGGTCCCTGTTATTTTTTTGTTTGAAAGAAACATGTTCCCCATATACATTTTCCTATATGGAATGCAAAAACTTTGAAGCTCAATATCTCAAAACTGCTCAGAACGCAGATAGAACCTTATAATTCCAAGGGGACGATATGTCAAATGACATTTTTATGTACCGGTATTCTAAATAAAAGATATAGATTGTACAGGATGTCAGCCTGCTTATTTGGCTCAAGATAAGGATTTATTGAGTCCACAAGTCATGCAAACAAAAAACTAAGGTTCTAACCGCAGGTCAGAAAAGTATCATTTATAGTTTCTTTCTTTATCTATCTATAATGGGAGCAGAACCAGTGTAATGGGAGTACCTGGTATATGGATGCTGGGGCAGTTGTTGAAGTACTGTGAGAAGAGCTCAGCATTCAGCGTTGCACTCATCATAATTATTTTCAGATCAGTCCGTTTTACAATCAGATCCTTCAGAACCAGCAACAGGAAGTCACTGCAAGACAGGAATCATTTTACTGCCAGACTCGCCTCATGTGAATGTGTTTTTAAGTGCATGTGAGCTTTCCACAGACCTCTCTTCTGTCCGTTCATGGACCTCATCCACGATCACATGTGTGATGCCACGGAGCTCTGAGTCACCTTCTAGCCTCCGCAAAAGGACCCCGGTGGTGCAGAACATCAGCCTTGTGCTAGAGGACTGGATACATGAAAACATATACAATAGCATTAGGAAGACAAGGAATATTTATAGAAGTTAAAAATCCAACAAGGATGTATTAAGCTGATCAAAAGTGACAGTAAAGACATTTACGATGTAACAAAGGATTTCTAATTTAAATAAATGTTCTTAAAAAAACTTTATGTTCATTAGAGAATCCTGTTTTCAACATTGTTATCTTGGGCATATTAGAATGATTTCTGAAGGATCATGGGAACTGAACACTAAAGTAATGAAAAATTGTGGCTGCTGAAAAATTGCTATCACAGGAATACATTACATATAAAAATAGAAAAAAAAGTTATGTTAAATTGTACTGTAATAACATTTCACAATATTAAAGTTTTTAATTCTTTCAAAACCATTATCTGATCTTTATATGGACCCCAAACTTTTGAATGGTAGTGTATCTATTTTGAGTAGGGCTGGGCAAAAAAAATCGATTTTTCGATTAATCATTTTTTAAAATGTGTTCGATTCAAAATCGATTCTCAACGGCCGGAATCGATTTTTTCCATATAAAGGGCTCGCGGAAGCGGTGCTGCATCTTCTCGTCTCTGCACTAGGCAAGCGCCAAGCGCTGCAGCTGTCGATACACACACGCGTTTAGGAGTCGGGACATGACGGAATATTCACTTAACAATCGGGCCAGCATTACATCGTAACCTATGATCGTAACTAACGTTTATCATTTTCACGTCTTTTTGTGTTTTACAAGCAATGTTAAACCATCCCGTGCTCGCGAACTCTCAGAGATGTCTTTCACTGCGTGCACAGTAACGTTACAGCCTAAATCTGCCTCACAAACAGCTCGCCAGAAACAAAAGTTTTATCCCTGGATTATATCACTTCAACAGTTAAAACACGCGACATTATGTCAAAACTCTGGTCTTGGTGAGTAACCTCTTAAATTAGCATTAAACGCGTGTGACAGAAAGTTAATGAAACAGTAATGGATTCGCACACTAGTCCTTAAAGTGAACGCAGCCATTTGTGTCAGTCATTAATTCTGTTGTCATAACAACAGAATATAGTATTAATTGTAAGCAATCAGAATTAAAAGCCTTTGTATTTAATTCAGTCTGGACTAAAAAGACTATCCAGTGTTATTTTACATTGGATTACTTTATTCAGTTTCTGTAGTATTTCTGACATACCCAAAAAACTACCCCAAAATGTCTCTTAATTTGTGTCTTTATTCTATTGTATTTATTTGTGCTACTTTTTTCAATTTAATTCAAAGATTGAAATCAAGCTTCCATACATAAACTCTTAAAACAAAAACAAAAAACAAAAATAAACAAAAAAATTACATTACCATTTAGGTAAGATCAATGTAAAAAAATGTCTAAATATTTATATATTTATTTATCTATATCTATCTCAAACATAAAATAACATGATACTGTTTGATCAAGCTGTGCGACTGTTCTGACTTTTTTTGCATATTGCATCAAAATCCTGTTTATTCTTTGTATGCATTTAGTGTACCTAAAATAAAAAGAGTTTTATATACAGGTTTGTGGCTCTTAATTTCCTTGTATTTAATTAACCACTAGTAAACTTATGTCCACTGTTCTTTTTTATAAATATAGGATTTGTATTACATCTTCATTATAGTCGAATCAAATCAGGAATCGAGAATCGAAATCGAAAATTGAATCGAGAATCGAAATCAAATCGAACTGAGAGCTTGTGAATCGAATCGAAATTGAAATGTGAATCGATACCCAGCCCTAATTTTGAGATTTCAGCCTTTTTACTTTCTACAATATACATCTCTTGGTATTTATGCATTTGCCTTGAATGATTTTATTCAATGAATGAAACCATAATGAGGAGGACTAAATGTTAATTGCAAGTTATTAGTGTGTTAGCACTTTTTGTTTTGGTTTGGTTTTATAAAGTCCTTGGGGTTAGGGTTCACACTGTCATTTTTAACACCAAACCTAAAGATAAAAATCAAACAAAAAACACGGCTTTTATGATGTATATTTCGTGGCGGAACTTAGCAAACTTTAAAAACAATGCAGTGTACTGCGCTAAATGTTTGTTGTATGTGCGTACACTTTATGGTATTTTTACCAGACAAGAACTCATGAAGAGCTTATAAATGTGTTAAGGAGTCAAAACAGAACCAAAAATTCCTCCACTGCACACAAATGAAGGTCTGCTGCAAGAAGATGGCTTTTCTGACGCCTGTAACGAAGGCTTGAGCATTCTGTCCTAATTAGGGTCGCATCTTGTGACATCACGTCCATGTCCATGCACACAACGCATTCATATTTCATTCGAACCGCACCAGAGTTTGCTTAGAAGGACCGAGACCCATGAAAAGTAATAATTATGGTAGCAGTAATTTAACAAATGGCTAGGGCTGGGCAACGATTAATCGCGATTAATCGCATCCAAAATAAAAGTTTGTGTTTACATAATATATGTGTGTGTACTGTGTATAATTATTTTGTATATTAAAATGCACACACATGCATGTATATATTTAAGAAAATGTGTTATTAATATTTATATTTAATATAAATTATGTCTAAATATATATACAGTATATACATGCAAATATATACATGCATGTGTGTGTTTTTATCAGTGTTGGGAGTAACGCATTACAAAAGTAATACATTACAGTAACATATTACTGTAAGGCATTACTAATCAATTTTCAGTAATATTTTACTCGTTACATGTTCAGTGAGGCTTGTATTACAGTTGTATTACAATGTATTGTCTGCTTTTACTTCTTAAAGGCAACAGACTATGTGAAAGTTTTAAAGCAGTCTTTTAGTGCCAGTTCAGAGCGGTCGCGTCTGTAACATTGTTTTTTCCTCATAAATGTGAACACGAAAACTAAAATAAAATGAATATTTTAAGTTCTATGGAAACTGGAGAGCCAACCCTTCCTCATCCGATTTGCGCAGTGTAATTAACAGAATTACAAAAAAATATATTTTACCTCCTATTTTTTTGTCACGCATGAATGTGTGTCTTTTCCCTAATATTAAAAATAAAACATAGACTGATATTTGTCTAATGTCTGGAGTCCTTTAAGGAAGTAGCCTATATACGTTTCAATACATGTATTTTCTGAGAATTTTTATTTCAAGTTTTGACTGCAAATGTCATGTCCATAATGCTGGACTTCCCCAATTTTAAATAATTTATCCTCAACTAGTTTTGTGGTGTAGGTCTACGTATTTTATAATGTTAACTTCAAATAATACTAATAGCCTAATTTAAAGATAAGGCAGCATTGGATATGGACGGTAAGGAGAATAACGCTGGAGTTGGAAGAGGTGTGTCGCGATTCTGTAGGTTCGTGGATCTGAGTCGTGTGGCGAATCGCGATTTCGGTTTCATATTGCATATCGTTACAGCCCAAAAGTTAAGTTCTACTTAGTTATTTTGGTGAAAGTAACTCAAAAGTAATACATGAGTAATGTAACGCATTACAATTCTGGGACAGTAATATTGTAAGGTAATGAATTACTTTTAAATAACAGTAACAAGTAATACCTAATGTATTACAGTTTGGAAGTAACTTGCACAACACTGGTTTTTATATATATAAAACATAATTATACACACTACATAGACATATATTATGTAAACACAAACTTTTATTTTGGATACGATTAATCGCGATTAATTGTTGCCCAGCCCTATGATAATGTAATGATGAAGAAATCTTTCAAAATCTATTATAAATATTTTTGTATCAATCAGTATCAAGTAGTACTAGTAAATGTGGTTGGTATGTAAAAACGGTGTTACCCTGACAGTTTCCAGTCGGATCTGGTAGCCTGTGGAGTGACCCAGGGCCTCTGCTCGTTCCTGGGCCACTCGGGTCGCCACGGTGATGGCAGAAATTCGACGTGGCTGAGTGCACATAATGTTGGCCACTCTATCCTGCCGCCCAGTCTGGAGGAAATCATCCAGGATAAACTGAGGAATCTGAGTGGTTTTCCCGCACCTAAAGTTACATTAATTCAGACATGAAGAGATGTCAAGAACAACAAAGAAGAAAAAATTGGTCAACAGAATATCAGTTACGCAGATCATATTCCTACCCAGTCATCCCACTGATGACGAGAACCTGGTTCTTATCCAAACACTCCAGTATGACGTCTTTCTTCTGCCATGCAGGAAGCTTCTGCCTCTGCTCCTGCATCGATGTATACCGCCTCGAAGACTGACGGAGAGAACACACACAGATCAGTTTAACCCAAATGAAGATACTGGAAAATCGAACAGAAACAATATCCTTGCAGCTCTCTTCCATATAATGGGGACAGGGTTTTGTAAGCTCCAAAATTACAAACTTTATAATGAGGTTTGGTCACAAGACATGGGGGGACCAATGAAATTTGACATAATACCAGAAACAATGGGTTAAAAGCAGCATATTGGATTTAAAACCTATGCTGTGTCCCAATTTGCATACTATCTAAATGGTATTCGAAATTAGAATTAGTGTATCCCAAATGATAGTATGTTGAACTGAGAATACCCAGGAAATACCCAGATGGTCTCCTTTTTCTGGTTAGAATCTGAAGTGCAGATTCGTGCTCACTCTAACAGCTAATATTGCCCACAACCCATTGTGCTTTAGACAAGAATTCGATCTACAAACACAAAATGATCATTTTTTTTAAACAACAAACAAGGCAGGTGAGGAAGTCCAACGGTTAAGTAGAGGTTTAGATAAAGGGGTTTGAGTGATTAATAATTAGTTTCTAACCTGATGAATAGATATTTATTCAATGTTATCCACATAACATTCCATGTTTAACAGCATTATGAACTTTTGTACAGATCCGTTTGGTCATTAACGTTAAAATGCACCATTATGCCAATTGAAAAACACATGAGGAGAGTTCCCCACATTAAAGACCCTACGACTGGCAGTTCAATGTGCTACATTTCTCTCCAAAACGGTATGAAATTCAATTCAATTGAATATAGGAGGATTTTAACTGTGACATGATTGACAGCTGTCCATTTAAGGAGAAATTATGAGAAAGTATTATGTCCCAAAACTAACTTACTTCTTCTACTACACACAAGTATGTACTTTTTTTTTCGTCACAAAAAGAGTAGCTATAGTAGAAGTAGGCGAATTGGGATGCAGGCCCACAGTGGAGCACAAGATTTTTAGTGAATAAAATTTAAATGCAAGTATGTATAATCTGCAAAACTATCATATGATTTCAGAACATTTGGAACTTTGCATTGGTCATTAGAACTATTTTTATGGCTTTTTTGAATACTCTCTAAACACTCGCTCTATTTTTATGATCCATGAAAGAAATTTGAGTCCTAAAACCCAGAATTTTCTTGCCCATTTTTCCCTGTCCTGAAGTCAGTGGGTCTTTAGTCTGTGGATAACACAAGCTCAAAATATTTTTACGTTTTATTCAAATTACGCAAATTACATTTGTGATATTTTTTAATCCTTTTAGGCGTCTTGAAAAAAAGTGGTTGCTTTGTTAAGTGGTTAAATGGGACTCCAGAGGTTGTCGGTGACACTATGTCATCAACTAATCGACACCCTCTCTTGCAAACTATTCAAACTCAAAACTTTCCAACTTGTAGATTAAAGATTGAAAGAGTCGTCCGAAGCTTAGTGGTTGTGAAGCTGAAGTCATGTGACCACAGTGTCGTTTGTTTATAGCCAAACTTCAGCTTTTTGCTGAGCCAAATGTTTTAGACTCAATATTTGTATTAATAAGTTAAGATTATCTTGATGAACAAAATGTGTAAGAAAAATAAACTTTTGCTGGTCACAGAGCTTTTTTTTTTTTTTGCAATAATGACAGCAAATATTAATTCAAAAACATTCAGACCATTCCAAGCCAATAAGGGCAGGGTATGTTTTACCCAATCGCCAGGTGTGTTACCTGTTTCCTCTTGAACTCTCTGCAGAGCTTCTTGTTCTCTTGCTGTATTTGCTCAGTTTTAATCTCGGCCTTCTTCACCATCCTCTTCCTCAAGTTTACATAACTTTCGTTTTCCACTGGGATACATTCCTCTACATATTCATAATCATCCTCATCTTGTTCTTCCTCAATATCCGCTCTTAGGAATGAAGCATCTAATTGAAAATGATAACAGTACAGAACTCTCATTTTTGGATAAAATATGGTTACTTTTAATAATGACAAGTTTTGAGACGTCCAATCCCTCACCTTCCTTTTGATTCAGTCTGTGGTTTGTGGTCTCGGTGATCTTGATTGGACGATCTCTAGTTGCTGAACCATTCGTAATGCTGTCTACGATGTTCCTGCTGCTCCGATTCTTTGCCGGAGTGACAGTGGGTGGAGCCAGCACTGGGGGCGGAGAACTGTACTTGTGATGAGCAGCTGACAGCAGTTCTCTGACAGGACCGTCCTCCTCCAGACAGGAAATGAGCGTGTAGACCACCGGCTCACCTTCCTGCGCAGCACTGAGTGATTGACCGAACAGGTACTCTGTGACATTGAGGCGGCCCGGACCTGAGAGCGATTCATCTGTGCTACTGAAGGCCACGAGAGGAGGTTGAAAAGGATAAAAACTACCTGGTTGGAAACGAATCTCCAGCTGGTAAACGGGAGCTTCTGTGCTGCTAAACCCTGGTTGACTTCCTTCACAAAACTCTCTGAAAGAGCTTGATTCATGAGTTTGGTGCTTGAAATTGCAGCGGTTGCCAAACTTACAACCAGCCCCCTTTAGGTAAAACTTGCAAATCTGACCGGACCCCGACTGCTTTTTACCATTCTGAGATTCTGAAATTTTCATCCGGCTAATACCCAACCACAACAAATCAAGCTGAATAGTCCAAACGCGATTACTGATGCGCTCACAGAACCGCTCTCCGTAGATCGCGGTCAAAGCGAAGGCCTCTTCCTGTCGCAAAGCTACACATTCCTCCAGTGAAGGGAGGTCGTGCCTCTGGGGGCCGTGTGCGCTAGAGCCAAAACGTTCAGTGAACATCTGGGAGAGGAGGAGTTCTAACGTCGCTCCAACCTCACCACGTCCACTTTCTTCTCCAGCCTGCAAAGCTCGTCTACTGCGCTCACGGTCAAACCCATACCTGAAACATGGGAATCCTGAGTTACTAATGTTTAGATATCTAGATTTAGTACTTTATAAAATTAAGCTGTAAAAAAAGTACACTACCATTCAGACATAATCTATTAGCAATTTTTTTTAACACAAAGATTAAGGTTAAATAGTCCTGGAAAAAAAAAAAAAAGAGTCAAAAATGACCGCAATGGAAATGAATGGGAGATGAATTTCATTTAGAGAAAACCTTTGTTACTGCTGCCAAAATTACTGAAAGCTTTTTTTTCTTTTCCCAAATCAAGCTCGAATTTGGAATACAGCTTGTTTGGATTTATGGCTTTAATTTTCATGAAGTTTTAGAGTAAAACGTGTTTTTGAAAATATACTGTATATTTCATATAAAACTTTAAAATAGGTTTTTACAATAAACTTTAAGATCACTTTTTAAATCTTTTTTTCACTTCAGCAATAATATACCAAGTGTGGTCTTTGAACCTGTCTGTGTTTTAAAGCATTTAAGATTTAGACTATGACAGTTAAAGTTGAAATGTAACTTTCAGGTCTGTGCTCAAAAAGTGAATAAATTGATTATACCAACAGCGTAAATATAATTTAGTACCATAAAATCCCCTAAAAACACAAATTATATATATATATATATATATATATATATATATATAAACACAGTCGTGCACAGATTTAATCATACCCCTGGTAAATATAATAAAAAATGGCTGTAAAAAATAAATCTGCATGGTTTATCCTTTTGGTCTTTCATTCAAAAAAATTGGCAAAAATCTAACCCTCCAGTGAAGTAAAAGAATTGAAAATGGGGGAGAAATCACATTATAAAATAAATGTTTTTCTCCAAAACACGTTGGCCACCATTATTCATACCCCTAGAATTCTTTATGAATAAAACATATTCCCATTAATATTTACCTTTTTTAGCACACCACTAGGGACATGAAATTGTCCAGCTATGACTTCTTGTTTCACAGGAGTTTAAATATGAGGAAGCACAAAGGCCAAATTCCCTGAATCATCTATCACAATGAATAAAACCAAAGAAAATGGTTTTGATGTGCATCAAAAGATTGTTGAGCATCACAAAATAGAAAGTGGCTGTAAGAAAATAGCTAAAGAATTGAAAATTCCCATTTTGACTATCAGGGCAATTAAGAAGTTATAATCAACTAAATATGTTACGATTCTGCCAGGAACAGGATGTCCGTCTATGTTTTCTTAATGGACGGTGAGGAGGAAAGTTTAAGTGGCCAAATACTCTTCAGTTTTCAAGGATCACAGATGGAGAATTACAGAGATTAGTTGAGTCTTGGGGGTCAGAAAGCCTATTAAAAAAAATCTAACAACCTCTACATCCCCACATGTTGTTTGGGAGGTTGAAAAATGCTCCTCGCTCCTCCAAAAACAAACTCCAGCATATTCAGTGGTCAGACACGAATGGATTTTCAAACGGCACAAGGTTCTGTGGTCAGATGAAACTAAAAAAAAAGAGCTTTTTGGCAGCAAACACACTAGATGGGTTTGGTGCACACAAGGATTAAAAGTACCCAATTTGTACAATTTAACATACCATTGGATCTTTAATGTTGGAGGCCTATTTTTCTGCTGGAAGTCCTGGACTTCTTATTCAGATACATGGCATTGTGGAGTCTATCAAATATCAAGAGATAAAAAAATCAAAACCTGACGCCTTCTGCAAGAAATCTTATAATGGGCCGTGGTTGGATCTTCCATCAGGACAACGATCCAAAACAAACATCAAAATCAACACAAAAATGCAGTGGCGGCTGGTGAAAATGATTGTAGGGGGGCTGAATAAGAGGGGGGTCTGGGGGTTCCCCCCCAGAAAATTTTGAATTTAGTAGATGTGATTTCCTGCATTCTGGTGCATTTTAGGCCTTAGGCCATGCCCTTACCTATACCAATAAAATAACTTAAACCAGTCAATACCAATGGTCAAATAATACAATAATAATAATAACAGTTTGACAGTTAATGATAATGAACAAGTTGCATGTTTATTATGCTCTGTGTGCTGACAGAAAAAGTGCAAACGCATAATATTGATAAATTATAATATAGGTAATACAAAAAAAAAGGTAATACAACAATCTAGTTTAATCAATCCCCAGCTGTAGACTACATATTTTTGACAAATTGACAATTGGATAATGGATAACAATGTGTTGATACTAGAGAAAGAGAGAGAGAAAAGGCTCTGAAAGAGAGGGTGGGACAACGTTCTTGATTGTAACACCCAAGTATGAGAAGAAAGTTGATTTTAACTAGTATGAAACACAGTAATCTAGCTCAGAACTTAAAAACATAAAAAAAGGCAAACACACAGGTATTAATATTCCTAATATAGCTGCGAGCAGCGATGGCGGGCCCAAGCCGGTGGCACCGCAACCCCGGTTCCTTTAGTTACCTAAAGGCACCCGGGTAGCGGTGCCGAAGGCTTTGGCCCTTTTATGATTAAATGTTAAAACGGCTTGCCATACTCTGTCATTTCGACTAGTCACAATTATGTTACAGATGTCTTAAATGATAATACAAACTATCCAAAATGTAATTACGAATAGACAGAAAGACGTTGTTGATATCTACAATGTTAATTCCGGACAGGCAAACTTAGCTTTTAAATGTTAAAAGGGCTTGCCATACAGGGACGTAGGCTCAGAGAGAGGCTCACCATATTCAAACCAAAATATCTGACTTCCTCTTGGTCCGAGCTAATGACTATGTATTAGAAAGTTGTCCGGCTTGAGGAGTACAATGTATATACCGATTTTTGTAACTGTAGATAAAACTAACAACCCCACTTTTGTCAAAAGGTGGCGCTATTTAGTCCTTGCACATTGCCCGTTTCTGAAACTTTGCACGTCTACTGGCTAATAAATGTGATGTATCTGTTGAGTTTCAAGCAATTTCAATTTCAATTTGACTGTTGAAAAGAAGTGCGCCGATTAGATACTCAGGATCGGTATCGGCTCTGACACTGCCATCTTTGACGAGGCTGATTCAAATTCTATATTGTGCATATACTATTCTGTTAGGCACAAAGGCACAAAAACTTTCTAAAGTACCATAAAGTTTTTGTGTACTGTATTATTAGTGTTCTGAAGCTATTATGTGATATAGAAATTAATATTTAAGTCATTAAATTCAAGAACACAAACTTTTCCCTCTCTGCGCCTGTCAGTCATTCTCCATTCAGCATTCAAACAGCACGTCACATTCGGTTACAGTCAATGATGAAACGATCTTCAATGATTCAATGTTAATCCTATTATACTGGATCTTTAAGATAAAGGTCTAAAGGTCTATATTTTCGAATGAAGAAACTTTTTCTTGCTGGACTTTATTGCTGTAACTTAATCGTGCTACTTTCTACCGGGTGTCGGACGCTGTCGGTTAGATCACAACACTAGAGTCAGAGCACTATAATTGTTCTTCACGCACACAGTAACTGAAATTTAAAACCTTTAAAAGAAAAGGCTCAATAAACTATTGCATAGATAGATAATGTATAATACACTGTTCATAAATATGTATTTCCTTTGTGCTTTGAACTTTTCAATACGGACTCAATGCGCTGTAACTTCATGTGGCTTCAAGCACATCATTCTCCGCTCGGGATGCACATAAGTGCTTTGTGCTGCACCGTATTGGAGCCGTAATATCATAATGCAGTGACGTAATGACAGATTATTAATTGCCTTTCAATTATATGTTGCTTTATAGCAGCCATGGCTATATTTTTTTTTAATGATTTTTGTTATCTTGTTTTTCATGAATGTATTTTTCAAAAATAAGAGCAATGTGTATTATCTATTATTAATATGGTTTATAATAGCATTTTTGTCATAGATTATGACAAAGTAATCATATGATCCACCAGCGAGGAACCAGCAGAACAGAGTGAACATTCTTTCTGTTTAGTTCAATCCTACTTAATAGGAATTTATTTAAAATGCTCGCTCTACTCCACACCATTAATGTCTTGTGCGGACATCCGTATTTTGACTTTCGGTTTTAAGTAAGCGATTTAAAAGCTCCCAAGTCCCAGCGGAGTCACACGTTGATTAACCGGTGGGAATATACACAATAGGCCTACCTGATATTGAACACAAGAGGGCAGTATAGCACTACGTATGACTCAGATTATTATTTTTTTATGAATTTTACAACAATTCTGGCTGTTTTTGAACGTAAACACAATTCTTAAATGAAAAAAAGGAAAAATTGGGGAAGTTATAATATTTGTATAATTTAATTTAGAAACAAATGATGTATAATTACATTTTTAGAAGATATGAGGCTTTTAGTGTTTACTTTTTTGACATTACTTTAATCTTTTGCCATAGTTGCACATGTCTATTGGCTAATAAATGTGATGTATCTGTTGAGTTTCAAGCAATTTCAAGCAAGCTAAGAGTCCCAAAAGCATCAAAAAATAATGTTAAAGTTTGTTTCGTTGCCACGGCATTTTGAAAGTGACACACTTCCTGCTGCCAGTTGGTGGCGCTATAACTTTGACTCACAATAGTCACATCCATGTGATCGGTCTCTTACAGCGAAAACACTGCTGAAGTTTCATCAAGATCAGTTAATGTATGCTGAAGTTATAACACACATCCTGTTCCATGTTTCTCGCCATAATTTCGTTTCCTCGCCACGGCCAAACCGTTCGAGATATCAAAAATCCCGTGGCACTTTTTCATCCTTAATGTCTTGACTTCACGCTGATCGAGTTTCGTCGAATTTGGTTCAGTGCTCTAGGAGCAATAATTTAAATTACATTGCATGTGTTTTAAACACAACCCTAAATAGCCAACTTCCTGTTGGGCTGGGGTAAAAAGTAAGAGTGTGAAGTATATATGAAACGATGAGATCTATATGTGTACCAAGTTTCATATTATTACATGCAAGTGTGTTTGATTTATGGACCAAATTTTCAGACCAAGTTTATTGACCAAGTTAATCTGATTAATAAACTAA